TGGTTAAGGGGAGGGTGACTCTGGGTTAAGCATCTGACTCTTGGTTTCAGCTGGGGTGGTGATTGCATGGTCATGAGATTGAGCCCCACACCTGGCTGTGCCCTCTTTGGCGTCTCTCTCACTGTCCCTTTGCTTCTCCCCCAACCCTCCTCATGGTCTCTCTCTCTCTCTAAAAAAGAAAAAAAAAATCTTAAAAAAAAAAGAAATTAATGAATTGATTAGTATTCTTAAAAGCTTAGTGGTAATAGATCCCAAAGATAAACTCTTGGCAAAACTAATCAGGGAGGAAAATTATGTAGGAGGAATAAGTGAAAAAGGAGGAATAAGAAAAAAAGAGAGATAGTTAAACATAATATTTTAGGGAAATATAGAATACATAAGCTATTAAAAGTAAACTAAATAATAAAAAATATACTGTAATTGCCATCGTTGAAAAGACCAACTATGGAAGAAACTGGAAATATTTTTTAAAAATTAACAAATAACAATTCATCCTCCCAAACAGTTGAGCCCAGATGTCCTCATGGATTGGCTTGGTGTTGGGGTTAAGGGTGCAGACTATAAAGAATCCAGCAGACCAGGATCCCTGCCCATGATGCCCAGCATGTCCTTGGGCAGCTACTTCACACCCCCACCCCAAGCCTCAACTTTTCCTTCTGTAGGGTGGGTTGGGAGGGCTCCTCCCTGTGGACCTCCTGAGGGTCAGTCCAGGCAGTTTTAGCTCAGAGTACATTCACCTGAGGCCCCCCAAGCCTCAGCTTCCCCACCTATAAAATGGGGCTGGGAATAGAGGTGACCTCGCAGAGTGAGTGGGGCAGGCCCAGCTATCAGAAAGCAGCATTTATGATTTCCACTAATTGCGAGGTCACATGGGGGGATCAGCATGCCACAGCCCATGGGCCCACATCCCGCCAGCTAAGAAGGATTTCTTTTTTAGAGATTTTATTTATTTATTTGACAGACAGAGATCACACGTAGGCAGAGAGGCAGGCAGAGAGAGAGAAGGGGAAGCAGGCTTCCCGCTGAGCAGAGAGCCTGATGTGGGGCTCATCCCAGGACCCTAGGATCATGACCTAAGCTAAAGGCAGACGCTTAACCCACTGAGCCACCCAGGTGCCCCTAAGAAGGATTTTAAAGCGGATGGGAAAAGAAAGCAAAAGCAGAATATTCTCTGACCCATGAAAATACCATGGAATCTGGATTGCAGCGTCCGTGAATAAAGCTTCGTGGGAACAGGCTGTGCCTGTTTGTTCATGTGTCACCTGCTGCTGCTTTTGCCACGTGAGAGCAGAGCTGCGCACTCGTGACAGAGATGGGGTGTGATCCCCAGAATGCAAGTGTGACCCCGGTCTGTGCGGGGCAGGTGTGCCAACCCCCGTGTCCTGCAGTCACGGATGATAGAAAAGGCAGGGACCGACTGAGGCTAAGACAGCTGGAAGGGCAACATCACCTCTTGAGAGTAGGACAGTCTTGTCCATGCGGGGAACTGGGAGCTCTGAGGGGCTATGTGGGTGCTGGGGGGTGCCTCATGCTCCTGCCCTTTCTATGCAGCGCATTTTGGAGGACAAGGAGGAGAACCTGCTCCCCGCTGCGTTGGTGCAGCCCCACACCGGGAAACTTTGCTGGTTCCTGGACGAGGCAGCGGCTGGACTCCTGACGGTGCCCTTTGAGAAGCATTCCACGTTGTAGCTGGCCCCGAGGGACTCCGCGGCGGGAACCACAAATGGCCCTTGTGGGCCAGGACCTTCCTGGGCTGGGGTCCGCTGCCACCACCACTCCAGGCTTCATTTTCAAAAAGCCGCCTGGTGCCGCAGGAAGGCCCCAGGGTCTGGCCGCCAGCCCTGCTCTGGGGGCGCTCAGCCCACCGGCCAGGGCTCTGGGGGACCAGAGATTAAAGGGAGCATTTGCTTGAAGTCTCCACTCTCTCGTGGTCCTTGGTGGGTGGTGGGAGCAGGGATGCCCCAGCTGAGTGTGTGATCCAAAGTCCTTGTCCCAGCAAGGGGAGGGCAGGGATGGGGTACCCTGGGTGAGTTTCCTAGGGTTGCCGGAGCAAAGGACCACAAAATGTATGGTCGCTCAGTTCGGGGCTGGGGAGGGTCAGAAGTCTGAAATCGAAGCGTCCACAGAGTTGGATCCTTCTGGAGGCTCTGAAGGAGAGTCTGTCCTATGCCATTCTTCTGGTGTTTGGTGGCTGCTGGCAGCCCTCAGCCATCCTTGGCTTGTAGGCTCATCGCTCCGGTCTACTCCGCTCTTGTCACATGTCCTCCCCTGTGTCTCTGTGTCCTCTCCCTTTCTAGTAAGGACACCTGCAAGTGGACATTGGACAGCCCTAAATCCAGGGTGAACTCTTCTCAAGATCCTTAAGAATTACAGCTGCAAATAAGATCACACTTGGAGGTTCCAGGGGACATGTCGTATGTGTGTAGATGTGTGTGTGTTTAAAAAGTAACAAAATTTACCATCTTAACCATTTTTAAGCGTCCCGTTTGCGGCATTAAATATTCTCTCTGCCTTCACCGTCATCCATCCCCAGAACTCTTGGGAATCTGAAACTACACCTATTAAACAGCTCCCCATTCTCCCCTCCCCCAGCCCCTGGCACCCACAATTCAACTTTCTGACCACTCCGGGCACCCCCCCATATGTGGAATTACACGTTATTTGTGCTCCCATGGCTGGTGTCTTCACGTCCTCAAGGTTCATCCGTGTTGGAGCCTAGGTCAGAACCTCCTTCCTCCTTATGGCAGAAGAACATTCCAGCGTGCACATACGCCATGTAGTTTCCTGTCCATCCACCAGCCGCCGCTTGGGCAGCTCCCACACTTTGCTCATTGTGACAGAGCTACTACAGACATCTCAAGACCCTGCTCTCAGTTCTTCTGGGGATATTCCTAGAAGTGGAAAGGGTGATTCATATGGTGATTCTATGTTTAAATTTTGAGGACCCTCTGTACCCTTTTGCACAGCAGCTATACCATTTTCTGTTCCTGCCGCTGGTGCCCAAGGCTTCTTCACCGCCTCACCAATGTGTGTTTTGTTTTATTTTGTTTTGAAAGTAGCCTGGGGACATATCCTTTTGGTGTACACCGTTCAGCTCACTACACACTTAACTGGGCCCTCCCTGCACACAGGGGAGTGGCAGCCTCTGTCCCGCTCTGCTGCAGGCCTTGTCAGAGCCTTGAATGTTGAATGGGCCAAGACCCCTCAGTCTGTGGTGTACTGGGGCTGTAGCATTTTCCCAGAGCCTGACTGTGCATATGGCCCACCCATCAGCCTTGTGGGGGAGGCTGGTGGGTGCATGGGAGCCCTCAGCCATGTGGAGCTTTGCCAGGTTTGGCGGCTAGGCACATCCCACAGAGGCACCTGATCAGGCCGTGGGGGTTGAAACCCTGAAGCCAAAACCACAGAAAGTGAAGTTTCCTTCAACATCTTGTCTGGGTTGGTCACTCAGATGTGTGAGTGAGGAAGTGGGACAGGGCCCGGGGCGGAAACATGAAGAAAAGCGGAGAAAGCAGCCCAGCCATGGGCTTGGGCAACAGCAGGTGGCTGTGCCCCCAGTGTTTCAGGCAGTAGCCAGGATGGGGGGGTGCCAAGAAGCAGAGGGATGTGATGAGAGGCATGGGGACCACACATGGGGGTCCTTTGGGGCACGTCACCTCTCCACTCCTCTCCCTGTAGCCGCAGCTCTCCCTGCCCCTCACTCACCTTCCCACCTTGTGTTCTACTGGAACCTGCCAAACACATTCCCACCTCAGGGCCTTTGTGTGTGCTCTGCCCACTACCCAGTATTCTTTTCCCCAGCTTTGTGTACAGTGTGGGCCCTCACTCGCTTTAGGTCACCATGCAACATCTCCCCGATCCTGCTCCACCTCTAGTACTTTCTACCTCTTCCAGCTCCATTTTTTATCCTTACTTTGTCGTTATCTGACACTTCTTGGTATGCCAACTGACGGTTCATGGGGGCTGGAGCCATGGTCTGTGTTGCCCACTTCTGCATCCCTGGCACACAGTTCAAGGATGACACTCGGGCTGGCAAGGAGTGATGTTTGTTGAAAGGAGAAATGAATCCTGGGGCATGGGTGAGGATTACAGTCAGATGTTTCTGGTGGTTTAAGCAAAATGGAGGGTTAGCTCTTTCTCTGGAGGGAGGCCACCCAGGGTTGGAGCAATGTCATGAACTCTTCAGGGACCCCCTGCTCCTAAATCATAATTGTGCCACTGTCACTATGTGGGGTTCACCTCGTGGTCCAAGGTGGACTGCATATGCTCCAGCCATCACATCCACCTTCCGGCCACTGGAACTCAACACTCCCCTCATTTGAAAGCCTGTGAGGTTCCCATTTGATCCTATTTTCAGCTTGGAGCACAGATTCTGCTCCTTCCCTCCGTCCCTTCGCCAGGGCTGCTCTCTGCCAGGTGCTGGAAAAACAGGTGAAGGGGTAGGAGGTCCAACTAGCCTGACCCAGTCCAGTGCTATGTGCATTGATGGAGGACAGGCTGACAAGACAGGAACGCAAGGGACGCATTGTACCAGTCCATGGTACACCAACAGCCGCCCACCCTCTTCCCTGGCCCCAGCACAGATCCCAGGAACTGGGGGTGTCTATCCAGCTCTGCCTCCCCAGTCTGGGGTTGCTGGGGACTGCTGAGTCAGTGCTGGGTCCTCTCAGAACCCAGCATCACCCACTGGGGGGAGGCACAATGGAAGTGGGCACCAGGATTTAGACACCCTGTCCCTGCCCACCCTCCTTCCCTGCCCCACACACCTGACAACTGCTGTTTGTTCTTCCTGGTGTGGGCCCTACATCCCTCCTCCAAAGCTAGGATTCTAGGCTTCCGTACCCCCAGCCCACCCCTGGGGCTGCCCCAGCAGCCCCTGCAGAAACCAGCAGTTCTGAAGGCCTTGGCCCCAGGGGAACCAGGAGGACGCAGGTGCAGGGTGGGGCGGGGCAGGGGTAGGGCGGGGATTCCCTCCCACCCCCGACACATTTCACACAGTGGCCATGCTCTGGCTTCCCAGGGAGCTGGTCTCAGCGGCATCCAAGCCCCTCACTGGCTGCCCTGCTCCCGGGGTACCCCTGAACCCAGAAACCTGGGGCTTGTGGGAGGGGAGGGAGTGTCTGCTTTGTTCCCGAGGGAGACCCTAGAAACGGCAGCAGGATGGGTGGGCGGCCCTCGAGCCCCCTGGACAAGCGGCAGCAACAGCACTTGAGGGGTGAGCCGGCATGGGGTAGGGTGGGAGTGGGCTGGGCGGGGGTCAGGGCTAAGGTTGTCAGACACACAGTAAGATGCCCCTACTAATGTAAATTGCAGATATGGGATGAATATTTTTGTTTTGTATAAGTATGTCCCACATTTTGCATGGGAGCATACTTATGCTAAAGAATGATACCTAATTTATCCAGAATTCATATTTAATTGATGACTTATATATTTTTTAAAGATTTTATTTATTTATTTGACAGAGATCACAAGTAGGCAGAGAGGCAGGCAGGGCTGGGGGAAGCAGGGTCCACGCGGAGCAAGGATCCCGATGTGGGGCTCGATCCCAGGACCCCGAGATCATGACCTGAGCTGAAGGCAGAGGCTTAACCCACTGAGCCACCCAGACACCCCAATGACCTATATTTTTATTTGGTAAATCTGGTAACCCTATTCAGGGCATGGGTTCAGGATGAGGATGAGGGACCAGGTGAGAGGTGGTTCAGCCAGATCTCCTGGGATGGTTTTACTAGGTGGACAGGGACCAGCAGGGGGAAACAGGCTCAGATTCCAATTCAAGACTAAGAGTGGCTGGTGCCTTTACATGCTTGAGCACCTACAGTGTGCTGGGTGGTGAGGACACAGTGGGGTTAAGAATGGTTTCCCCCCTCCTGGGTTCATGACCTAGACCAGGAAAGAAGATCAAGTTACAATTACAAGAATGGCAGTTGACTGATAAGCATTGTGGGAAAACCCATAGGTTCTCCAAGTTGGGGGGCAAGAAGGGGTAGGTAACTGCCCACTGAGGAGCTGAGGGTCAAGCCAGGCCTGGAGGGTTGTGATGGAGTTCATTGGTAGGATATGTGGGAAGAGCATCCCAGGTAGGGGGAACAGCATGTGCACAGGCATGTGGTGTGTCTTGCAAGGACTCAGACCATGTAAGTTCACACCATAGCCCTGCCCTCACTCACTGTGTGACCTTGGGTGAATGACTTCATCTCTCTAGGTCTCATTCTCTTATTTGTAAAGCAGGGATAGCAACAATGTCTATCTCATGGAACCATTGTAAGAATTCAGTAAGTTACTCTTTGCTATGTTGGTTTTTTTTGTTTTTTTTTTCCTATAGTGGCTTAAACAAGATAAAGATTTACTTCTCTCACCTATAGAAAAGTACAGTGGCAGGCAGCCTCATATAAGTCAGACTCCTGAACTCCTTCCACATCATGGTTCTACCACTCATGGCTTCTGTGCCTAAGGCCATCTCATAGCACATAATAACTGCTGAAGCTCCAGCCATTAGGTCCACATTCCAGGCAGCAGATATGGATTTGTTTTACATACAGCCAAGTGCACACATCTTAGGGGAAGAGCTTAAAGGACTTTAACACTTGTTCGATCACTTCCTAGATCAAGATACAGAAAGATCCCTGGTGCTGGGGTGAGGCTTTTAAAATATTCAGAAACTTTCCCCAGGGAAAGGGCCAGAGGAAACTGGGGTGGAATGGATCTATTCATTATCTTGATAGTGGTGATGGTTTCTAGAGTGTGTAAAGGTGTCAAATTTCATCAGATTGTATGCTTTATGTAATTAAAGTTTATTGTACATCAGTTATAAATTAAGCCTGAGTCGCTCATTTCCCCCGCCCCTGACCCCCACGTGGCTACAAGCAGTCTATGGATGGTGAGTGGAATCTGGAGCACATCTTGTTGGGCAGCTTTGGGGCAAAGGGCAGGAGCTCACCAGTGGCCTCTCTGCCTGTTCTGCCCTCTTGTCGCTGCAGGCCAGGTGGACACCCTGCTGAGGAACTTCCTGCCCTGTTACCGGGAGCAGCTGGCAGCCTCTGTCCTGCGACAGATCTCCCACGAGCTGGGGCCCAGGGAGCCAGCCGGATGTCAGCTGATGCGCAGTAAAGTGGGTGCCGCAAAGGGAGGGGTTGCTAAGGGAGGGAGATGGGAGTTGGGGGGGGGCTTTGGTTCAGTTGCGGGCCCTCCTTCCTTCCACCTTTACCCTATAGGAGACACCAAGACCTAGGGAGACTTAAAAACTCATTCTTTGAACAAATATTCACTGGGCACCTACAGCAGACCATGCCCTGGGCTAGATATATGGGGGGTGGCACACAGCATTGGTGGAGGAAGGATCCTGCTTTGCACTGCCCCCTCCACCCCCAGGCTCACAGTCCGAGCCGGGGAGAAGTGAGCAAACAAGTTAGCATGTCATGGTACCGGAGGACTTCTGATAGGTGCTCTGAAGACAAGATGAAAGGCAGTGTTGAAGGGCGGGGAGTTGGGGTGCAGGGAGGGCTTCTCTGAGCTGAGATGTAAAGGATGAGAAGGAACCAGATCTGGAAGCCAGAGTGGGAAGGGAATTCAAGGCAGGTAGCACAGTCCATGCAAAAGCTCTCAAGGTGGAAAAGGCTTGCCTTGTCTATGGGGCGTGAAGCCCTCCCGTTGGACCCTCAAGCCTTTGTACACGTGGTACCCTCTGCCCAGGGCACTCTTCCTGGTGTTCCTCATGCTCCAGCCATGCTTCTTCCAAGAAGCCTTCCTTGATCACCACCCAGCCCCTTCCTGGGTTGGGTGCTTCCTCTGGGATCCCCATCCCGCTGCTTTTCCAGGGAAGCCTTGGGTCTGCCCTGTGAGGGTGGGGGCCATATCCCTTGTGCCCACGTGATGACTGCGCATAGGAGGAGGTCAAGAAGAGTTTGCTGATGGAACTTAAGACTGTGGAGGGGTGCCTGGGTGGCTCAGTGGGTTGAGCCTCTGCCTTCGGCTCAGGTCATGATCTCAGGGTCCTGGGATCGAGCTCTGCATTGGGCTCTCTGCTCAGCAGGGAGCCTGCTTCCGCCTCTCTCTCTGCCTGCCTCTCTGCCTACTTGTGTTGATCTCTCTGTCAAATAAAATAAATCTAAAAAAAAAGACTGTGGAGCTGCCCAGTCCAGCTCCAGATGTCTCCTGAGCCAACGAATGGCTCCACATGCCCTGTACCTCTCCCCCAGTCCTTGCCAGCCTGTGAAATGTCTTTGACCAGAGAAGAAACTGAGGATGAGGCACAGAGAGGTGAGGTGACCTACCTGAGGTCGCCCTGTCAAGAAGGGGCAAGGCGTGATTTGAACCTGGAGTCCATGCTAGTTATTGGGTCCCTGCCCTAATCAAGGGCTCCGAGTTTTCCCATCTTTCTCAGATGCCTTTTACCCAGTCGCACCCGCCCTCGGCTGGAGGCTCCCCAGCCCTGTGGACACAGAGTCTTCTTTCACCTGGGGCTCTCCCTGTCCTGCTTGGGGCATCACAGGATGTCATCCCTACCTGTACCTCTTGCCACCTGTAGGTTCTGGCCACTGGGCCTAGGGAACCATTGACACTGGGGTTCAAACAGTGTAGGGGGATTTCCCCTTGCTTCAGTTTGAACATTGTATAATATACTTATTTTATACATCATTTCTATAACAATTTTTTAAGGATTTTATTTTTCTTAAAGTTTTTAAATTTTTTCTTTGTTTATTTGAGAGAGAGAGGTGGAGATGGCGAGAGAGGGGGAGGGAGAGAGAGAGAGAGAGAACAAGTGGGAAGAAGCAGGCTCCCTGCTGAGCAGAGAGCCTGATGCGGGCTCGATCCCAGGACCCTGGGATCATGATCTGAGCCAAAGGCAGACGCCTAACAGGCTGAGCCAACCAGGCACCCCTCTATAAAATGTTTTAATGATATTATTATGAAAAAATCTCAGACCTCAGAGAAAGTTTGGAGAACCATTCAACAAACACCTGAGTTTCTACCACCCCATCAAAGAATGAAAATACCACAAATACAGTTAATTTATTCATTGAATATTTATTGAGCACCATCTGTGCACTGGGCGTTGCTCTGGGACCCAGTGATGAAACAAAACGCACACAATTCAGGTGGCCAGGTAGTGAGAAGAGCAACAAAGATAAAACAAAGTGATGTCCCACCCTGCCCAAGGGAGGGGTCTGTGGACAGAGGACTTGCTGTTTCACATGAAGGCAAACTACACCTGTTCCGTGACCCAGCAATCCCTCTTGTATTAGTTAGCTAATGCCACGTAACAACATGTCACACTGTGAGCGGCTGGAAACAACCCACGTGTATTATCTTACAGTTGCTGTGGGTCAGGAATCTAGATACAGCCTCCTGAATTCTTTCTTTTAAGGTCTCTCACAATCAAGATGTTGGCCGGTGGGGGGCGCCTGGGTGGCTCAGTGGGTCAAGCCTCTGCCTTCAGCTCAGGTCATGATCTCAGGGTCCTAGGATCAAGGCCCGCGTAGGGCTCTCTGCTCAGCGGGGAGCCTGCTTCCCCCACCCCTGCCTGCCTCTCTGCCTACTTGTGATCTCTCCCCCCCGCCGTCAAATAAATAAATAAATAAATAAATAAAATTAAAAAAAAAAAAAGATGTTGGCCAGGGGCTGGGGTCTCATCCGAGGCTCAAGTGGGGTGTGGGCTGCTTCCGAGTGATGAGGGGATGACAAAGCATCTGCCTCCCAGGGCTGTGGGAGGGAATGAAGTCAGTTTGTATCTGGAAGTGTCCCAAACAAGTGCATGGTCTTTGCACGTGAGAAAGAAGAGCAGTGCAATCACATCAGTGCCCAAGTCCTGTACTTGGTGGTACCTGGGATGGGTGGAGGGTGTTTTCTAGGTGATCTGGATGTGGGGACACTGATCTGGGCCCCCGACATCCACTGGTCCCTCCTTCTGCAGAAGCTTCCCCAAGTCCGTGAGCACCGAGGGCCTCTGACCCAGCTTGAGGGCCATCCGCCTCGGTGGCAGCCGATCTTCTGTGTCCTGCGTGGGGACGGCCGCCTGGAGTGGTTCAGCCACAGGGAGGTAAGCAAGTGGCTCTTGTCCCTTCCATTCTAGCCTCACTATCCCACTCCCCTCAGCAGCTCCCAATGTGGTCCTCTTTCCTTTCTTCAGTCACCTGCTATGAATTGAGGGTCCCTGTGAGATTGGCCTGGGAGGGGTGGCCATCTCTTGCTGAGCCGGGGAGGTAAACTGAGGTCCAGGCCAGGAATAGGGATTTACTCATGGTCATCAGCAGAGCTGAGGTTGAAACTGTGAGAGTCCTTTATGCATCACATCTGCTGGGGAATTCAAGTCACTTGTGCCCCTGGGACTCAGTTTCCATCTCTGTGAAATGGGATGATGGTGGTCTAGGCCACACGGGGCTGTGAGGAGTCAATGAGATAATCCTCATACAATATTTGGGACTAGCCTAGCACACAGTGGGTGCTGGTGCTTGATTACGGGGAGGGAGGGAGGGGGTGTGGAGGACTTCCCTAGTGAACCCTAAGCCTTCTCCTGATCCCACAGTTGGGATATGGAAGGCACAGTTTAGACCTGTCCCAAGCTGGTTCTCTGGATGCCTTTCATAGGAATATGAAAATGGGGGCCATCCTCTGGGTTCCACGACCTTGACAGGGTATACCGCCCTGACTTCCCAGCGTGAATATGTCCACCTGTTGGACACTCTCTGCCCAGTATCCTCAGGTAAGTTTCCTGGGTCCTCAAGAACAGATTTCTTTAACTTAGAATTGTTGACAGTTGGGGCCAAATCATTCTTTGCGGGGGCGGGGGGAAGGGCACCCTGTGCATTGCACCATGTTGAACAGCATCCCTGGACTCCACCCACTTGATGCCAGTAGCATTCCACCCCCCCCCCATGAGAGGTATGACAAAGATATCTCCAGACACTATCAGGTGTCCCCTTGGGGCAGCATTGTCTTTGGCTGAACACCCCAGCTCTAGCAAGCAAAATAACCACTCTCATCAGAGGGAGAAGGAGACTTAGAACATTGGACAAGAATCCAAATAGCAAAGGTAAAACAGTAAAACCTGGTGTCAGTGAGCATGTGGGGAGATGGGCACTGGTGGGTGGGCTAAGGTTGAAGGGCTGGGGTGACCAGGGATTTATACCTTCTGGATTATTCCATCTTACTGTGGTCCCATGTATCACCCTGGAAATCAGAACCAAACACTGAAGATTTAGGACACTCCAAATTAAGTAACCAAAAAAAAATTCACTCATTTTGCCCCCACAACAGTGCCCCCAACAGTCCTTCCAACAGTCCTCTCAATATCTCATTGGTATCACTTTGAAGCCCATTTTACAGGCAAGAGACCCGAGTTTCAGACAGAGAAACTGCGCCCTACACATAGAGCGAGCAAATGATTTGGCTGAGTTTGAATCTGGACCTGGTTGAGACCCCGGGGGCAAGCCGGGCTCAAATCACATGCCAGCTCAGCTCGATTAGCGGTGGTTGCCCAGGCCTCTGGGTTAAGGAGGATACTGAGGCTGGGAAACAATGTTGGGATGGACTGCTGATGTCCATCGTGGGCCTACCTCCCCCTGGGACTGAGCAAGAATAAGGAGAGTGCAATAATGATGGCATGGCTCATCCTTACCGAGGAACTGCGCAACCGTGTGGCTCTTCTAAGCCCGTCATGGGTGTTTTCTTCTAGTGAATGAATGATTGTAGAGTGAGTACATGAATGAAGACAATCCCCTCTGCCCACTTGCAGGAGAGCATACACAGGAAGAGTCTGACCCCCTCCTGGAAATGCCAGTGAACTTCCCCCTGTTCCTCCAGCACCCCTTCCGCCGGCATCTGTGTTTCTCTGCAGCCACCGGAGAAGCACAGCGAGCCTGGAGGCTAGCCCTCCAGGGTGGCATCCGGCTTCGTGGCACAGGTGGGTCCTGGGAAAGGCCAGGCAGCAGTGGGTCAGGAGCTCTGCTCCTGCTGGCTGTGGAGTCACCTCGAAGCTTCTAGTTTCCTTATGAAATGGATTGTGGGGGGAGACAGAAGCGACAACAGGCAGTTACAAGCAACCAGGGCTGCGATGGGAACACAGCCCTGCAGCAGCTCAGCCTGGGAGATCAGGGAGGGCTACACGGAGGAGGGGAGGAAGGAATGTCAAGGCTGGGGTCTGACAAGGATAAGGGGCCAGCCGGCTGAAGAAGGGAACAGGACCAACACATATGTTGAGCAGGTCGTTGAGTGCACAAATGTACCTTTGTGGAGGGGTAGGGGGGGATGGCTGTGCAGCCTGGGCTGGTGATGGTCCTGGGGCACCGTGTTCCCTGCAAATGGCACTGCTCAAGCAAAGGTCTGGAGGCGATGAGGCTTGGGCGTTCTGGGACCCGGTGAGGAGGTGGAGGGCTTCCTTCCCGGGCGATGGGGAGCCAGGCGGAGGCGAGAGCAGAGGAGGAGTGGGCGGGCCCTGAGGCGCTGCCCCCTCAGTCCTGCAGCGAAGTCAGGCCCCTGCCGCCCGTGCCTTCCTGGACGCCGTAAGACTCTATCGGCAGCACCAAGGCCATTTTGGCGACGACGACGTCACCCTGGGCTCGGACGCTGAGGTCAGTGCCGAGCAAGGCCGTCCCCGGGACCCCCTAGGCCCGCCGTGGTGCTCACGGTCCCCTCTCCCGCAGGTGCTGACCGGGGTGCTGATGAGAGAGCTGCTGCCGGCGCTGCGAGCTCAGACCCTGCCCGGCCTGCGGGGGGCCAGGCGCAACCTTGCCTGTGCCTGGACGGAGGTAGGCGCGGGGTCGCGCAGGTGGGGCCGGGACACGCGGGGGGGCGCGGAGGCGGATGGGGGCCCTACCCGGGGGCCCATCTTCCCCCTCCTCTCGTCTGTCCCCTAAACTCTTTCCGCGTCTCTCTGCGTCTCTGTCTTGGTCTCTCTGTTCTCGCACCCCCGCCCCATCACCTCTCCCTCCTGCGCCTCTGGCCCATGTGGGGTCCCCTCGGCCGGGCCGGGTAGCTCGTAGACGCAGTGCACGCCGCCGTCCTTGCCGAGGCCTCCGCCGGGCTCCGCGCCTTCCAGCCGGAAAAGGACGAGCTGCTCGCGGTCCTGGAGAAAACCATCCGGCCCGACGTGGACCAGATATTGCGGCAGCGGGAGCGCTTGGCTGGGAGGCTGCGGGGTGAGACCTGGGGGTAGGGACTTGCAGGGAGGGGCGGGGCCGGGAGCCTGAGAGGTGTAAGAGGAACCTGGTAGGTGTAAGGGTGGGTGTAAGGGGTGGGGCCGAGAATTCGGACCCCAGACCCAGCAGGGCAGGGCGGGGTGGGAGGAGGGATGGGAGAAAAGGTGAGCACAAGGGACTAGGTGTTGGTGGGAGTCTGGGCGTGGCCGAGGCTCCGAGATGCGAGATAAGGGTGGGGTCAAGAGGGAGGTCCGGTCGTGGAAAGGCGTTGGGTTAGGGATGGAGCGAGGCACACCCAGTCGGGAGACTGGTGGAGGCACAGGCAGTGGCCAACCTGACTCGGGATATCCCGGTCAGATGGCGGAGGTTCCCACTCCGCTCAGTAACCAAGAGAACCGGCTTGGAATCCGGGCTTTGCCTCTGAGCCGTGGAACTTTGCGCTGACTGCTGCCATACTCCAAACCTCAGTTTTCTCCTGTATAAAATGGTAGAAGAGGGTGCTCAGAGTCTGAGCTCTTGTCCCCCTCCTCGTGCTGAGCCCGGGCCGCCTCCACGCCCTTTGCCGAGCACCTTGTGGAGGAGACCCAGGCTAGTGTCCTCCACTCCCAGTCGAGGTCCAGCGCCCCCTGGAGGCGTGCCTGCACGGAAAGGTGGACACACAGCTGTCCCTGGTCACGCAGAAGCTGCTGAGCACCATGGAAGCCGTTCTTTCAGCAGTGCAGAACCTCCTAGCTCAGGGCATGGACCGCCTGTCTCGCCATCTGCGTGGGAGCTCCTCTGGCACGCAGCTGCGCAAGGAGGTGAGCTTGTGTGTGTGTGTGTGTGTGTGTGTGTGTGTGTGTGTGTGTGTGTGTGTGTGTGTTTTCATCCAATGGACAGTATATTGGCTTTACAGAAGAGTTGCGTGAACTCTTTCCTCTTTCTGTTTGAAAACCTCTTTTGAAAACCTTTTCTTAACTTTGTTGTAGGCTGCTTTTTACTTATTGTAGACCACTATGCTATGGTCATTGGGGCCACAGTTTAAACCATGGTTGGAGAGAGGAGTAAAATGACAAGAGCAGCATTTTACTAACATAAGTCTGGAGCCACCTACCTTCAGATTCCTCCTTTTCCCATTCCTTTGTTGTCAGAGGCCACCCCATCCCCTAAGCCAGTGAATTCTGCTCCATGCAGGTCACCTCAGTTTTTCTGATATTAAATGAAGACCGACTAAGTGCCAGGAAAACTTGAACTCATTAAGCTTCCATTTCATAATCATCCCCTCCAGGAACTTGTCCTTCTCTTCTCTGCATCCGCAGCTATTTGTGCGGCCCTCCTCACAGATGGGTTTACACACCCCTGTAGTTGTTAGTCTATAGTTTATCTCCCCCAACTTCTCTGTGAGCTCCTTGAGGGCAAAGACCATATTGGATTACTCCATTTCTGCAGCTGCAGAGCTCCCCAGCACAGAGAGGGCATCAGGTGGTGGGTATAGGTGTGACAAGGGCTGTGCCTATTTCCTCTCAGTCATGCCAGCACTGCATGTTATCCATTTTTTCAGGTTTTACCATTTTATGTCCATCACACCATACCTGTTACTTTTATTATGCATTTTTTTGGTGGCTGAGGTGGGATGTGTTTTCATTCGCGTTTCTCCTACTACGAATTGGCTGTGAGATCCTTGGCCTTTCTTTTCCATTGACTGATGGTATTTTTCTCACTTGCCTGTGGAGCCCAGGTTTACTCATTTGGGGAGATGCCATGGGACCCAGAGCTGATGCAGACCTGCTACCGTGAGGCTGAGAGAAGCCAGGGGCGCCTGAGGCAGCTGGTGGTGCCATTTGGCTTCTTTGGAACGCGGAGCCTGATGTTTGGGGCCCAGGATCTTGCCCAGCAGGTGAGGGGGGGAGTGGGAGGCTGAAGGAGGTGGGGGCACTGAACGGCTGCCAAGAATGTGCTGGGGAGATCATGATGACCAACAGACCTGGCCTCCCTCCCTGGGCTCCCATGTGGTGGGCAGAGTTGTGGTGGGAACACATGGGGTGCTGTGGGAGCCCTGGGGAGGTGTGCAATTCATCTCCAGTGTTAGGAGGGCCTTCAGGAGGAGAGGACTTCTGAACTGAGGCAGCAGGGGGGAAAATGGGGATGGGCTGTGTCCTGGGTAGAGGGAATAGTGTGGATCAGCACTGGGAGGTGAGGGAGTCTATCCGCATTTGGGGAAAATGAAGCCATTTGGAGACATTGGGTTGTACGTTTCAAGTGAGGGCAGAAAGGTAGGAGATATGCCAGCAAGGTGGGTGGGCAGATGGGTCAGGGACTTGAATATGGGGCTAAGGGGTCTGGCTCTGTCCTGAGGGCAGTGGGGAGCCCCAGCAGGTGTGTGAGCAGGGGAGGGTCATGACCAGATTCAAGATTTAGGAAGCCCTACCTGCTGTGGGGAAGAGGGGCTGTTGGGGGCAGGATTAGAGGAGGCAAGAAGGAGGCCTGAACCAGAATGGGTGCCGTTAATGGAGAGAAGTGGGGTGCATTTGTAGGCCAAGGGAATGGGACCTGCTAATTGACTTGGTGGGTGAAGGAGACAAGGATTGAGAAGACCAAGTGCTGCCTGGTACAGTTGTTCATTTTGTACACTGCACAAGAGCACTCAGCTAAAGAGGTGGAACTCCGACCAGCCCTCTGCTCCCCAGACTGAGCACCCTGGCACCATCCCCCAGAGGGAAGGGCATTTTCTGCTAGATTACACAGAGGTTCCCACTGTTTGCATGACTCCCAGGTCCTGAGTGGAGGGAGAGGCTGTTTCTTGAGACAAAAAGGAAGTCTGGGGAAAGTAGCCGATCAGGTTAGTCTGGATGCCAAGAAGGGTCAGCAGGGTAGGCACAGGACCCAAGAGGCCAGAGCTTGGGTTCCCAGGGGGCTTACGAGATGCTCTTTCCACAGCTTATGGCTGACGCCGTGGCCACCTTCCTACAACTGGCAGACCAGTGTCTGACCACGGCCCTGGACTGCACCCAGGCTGCCCAGCAGCTGGAGAAAGTCCGGGGGCGTGTGCTGAAGGTGAGGTCCACTGGGTGGGCATGGCTACTCCCATGGCCTGGGTACTCTGATGGCCCCTGGACCAGCTGCTGTGTGTGTCCGGCAGAAGTTCCAGTCAGACAGTGGCTCAGTGCAGAGGAATTTTACCCGTGGGTGGCTGCTCTCCATCTTCTTGCCCTTTGTGTTGCACCAGCTGGAGGGGAGCTGCACAGCGGTGAGTAAGAAGGCACGCATGCGCACATCCTAGAGGACAGCCAAGGGTCTCTGTCTTTCTGTAAAGTGGGCAGAGTGCTCTCTCCCTCGGAGTCACTGTGACAATAAGAGACTCTTGTTCCCTAAGCCCTGTGGTTGGGATGTATGGCTCTTTGGGCTCCCACAATGCCCTCTGCTTCTCCCATGAGAGTGCTCAGCGTCTGTCATTTGAGAGCTGGCGGGGGGGGGGGGGGGCATGCACCCAGGCATCTCATATCAGTGGGTGACATGGGCCTTAGGGAAGTGGGGAGGCAAAGAGGGAATGTGTGTCTGTTGGGGGGTGTGCCGGATGGTCAGGGAGGCTCTCGCTGAGAATGACACTCGAAAAGCAGTGAACTGAGGGCATGAGCCATGTCCTGGGGAAGCATGGTCCAGGCAGAAGGCACAGCAGGTGCAAAGACCCTGAGGTCAGCCAGTGTCTGGTGTGTGGGAGGAATAGTGAGGAGGCGCTCATGGCTGGAGTTTGATGAGTGAGGGCATGGGAAGGGGATGAGAGAGAAGGTCACAGGGGCCTGGTCACACAGGGGCATCAGGGAGGGGTCTGCCTCAGTGGCTGACAAGATCCTCTTGCCAGGGAAGATGGGTGGGAGGGCTAGTGGAGATGCCTGCATTATGCTCAGTAAGATGTGATGTGCTGTTTCATTGCTCCCCACAACAACCCGAGGGCATATGGATCAAGGAGTCCGTTTTAGAGATGAGGAAATTTAATCCCAAGGTCCCCCCCCCCCCAAACAGGGTCAAAGTTGCCGCCCTCCCCTCCAGACTAGCCCCTCAGCCACCTCTGTTCCAGGAGCTGCTTGAGTTCGAAGGAGACGTCCTTGCTGTGGGTAGCCCAGCCCTGACCGTCAAGGGCATCTATAAAGACATTGTCCAGGGGGTCCTGCTGCAGAGGATCGATGGAGGTAAGCCCCATTCCTTTATGCCTCAAGGAAGCCTGGTGACCCCTGGCTGTGTGTTGCAGCCTGTACCACATTCCCTATCACCTCTTACTTCCTGTCAATGCTAGCCCGTTGATGGAGGGTAGGACTGGGACAGATGGGGATGGGCTGAGCGAGTCTTCGAGGGGCAGTGATGGCAGTTCCCTAAAGGAGGGGGCATTGGAACAAGGCTCTGAGGAGTGTGTAGGAGTTCTTAGGATAGGGGGAAGGAGGCAAAATGCAGAAACTGGGAGTAGACGTTTATATTTATTCATTCAGCAACTCCCTGTTCTTTCCGGGCTGACATTAAAGCCTCCAGAGTTCTTGGATCTTCTGGGCTTGGTAGCGGCTCCAGAACCCTCTCTTCTCCTTCTTGCTTCGTCAGTTTGCTCATGAGCCAGTGCCTGAGACTGCAGAAACGTGCGCTGGGATGAGCCATGTGAGGCTGAGGGAATGGCTTGGCATCCACGTGGCTGAGGCAGCGGGCATGAAGGAGAACAGGAGAGGAGGCTGCTGGGGCAAGTGTGCAGGGCTTGAAATAACAGGCACAGGAGGTTAGGCTTTATTGAGCAGGCAATGGGGAGCCATGGAGGGTGTGTGAGCAGAGGGCAACAGTGACCAGACCGGAAACCAAGGAGGAGGCTGAGGGCACAGTCCTGGAGGCAAAGGACGGATTCAGGTAGCTCTCCCCTTTCTTGGGAGAAAGCCAAAGACAGTAGGGTTCTGGGAACCAGGAGGTTAAGGGGAGGATGTCTTTGGTCCTTGGGCATCCAAACAAAAAAAAACCCTAAGTTCCCTTAGAAAAGGGGCTTTTCTTTTTTTCTTTCTTTCTTTCTTTTCTTTTTGGAAAGGGGCATTTTCAATGGAGGAAAAGCTATTCTCTAATGAGAGGGGGGTGGAAATCCAGAAACAGGTAACCTCAGAGAGTTTCTGTCCTAGAGATTTTACAGGTAGCGGTATTCTACCCTTAATTGACTTGTAATGTCTGCTTGGGATGCTGTGTTGGCAGGTGGGACTGGTAGGGGGCTCAGTGAAGGGTGGGGATCAGCTAGCCTTGTCTGCTGTGAGCACAGGTACGGAGAGAGGCTTATTTGAACCACTTGTTTTGGATTCCTGGTTGAGATGTTTCCTCCCATCCTTTGCCCTCTTGTGACCTCTCTGAGGGAATGCATGGAATCCCCAGGTGGGTGCAAGGGTTTATCTCTTGCTTTAGAATTGAAAAAGGCCCTTGGTGCCAGTGACATGTCCTGCACTCCGGATGGCTGCTCGGAGGCCCCATGGGACCAGACAGGAGTAGGTGAGGACATCACAAGCTCTTGGGTCATGCCAGTGAATTGTTGGGGAGTAGGGGGGCTTGGCATGGGGTGGGAAGGATGGTTGTTAGTGTGGATTCCTGGGTGGAACAACATATACCTTATCTCCTGACCCAGCCGGTTGGTCAAGCTCATGGAGTTCTCAACACTGCAAGGGGAGACTGTGGTGATGGGAGCCTTGGGGCCACTGCAAGCAAGGGCTGTACTAGGAGATGGGTACAGGGAGCCAGGCTCAGGGCCAGGGCAGCCTGGCCTCCTGCTGCAGGATCCTACAACAAACTCTTTGTTGGAGCAGTAAATGCATGTAGGGCTGTGGCTGATGCTGCTGGCAGGGCAGGGATCCTCAGTTCCAGTCGTGAGATGGAAATCCATCATGGGGACTTCCCTGATATGGGGCAGAAAACAGCTGGTCCACCTAGAAGCAGACCAGTGGGCAGGACAGCTGTAACCTGGTAGTTCAGAACCCAGGGCGGGTGCGGGATTCTGGAACAGCTCACAGCTCAGTCCCCTTGAGTGTTGCTGTTGAACCCACCCAGCTGAGCGCCCCCATACTATTCACCCACAGAAATTCTGAGATAATGTGTGTTGTTTTTAGCGGCTAACTTTGGGGTCATTTGTTACGCAGCACTAGCTAACTGATACTCTCATACATTGCTGATCTGGCCTAGTTATAGTGATCATAGTAGATCACTGTAGACAAACTGAGGAGTATACACAAGTGTGGGGATAAATGGAGATTAAACTGTTTTAGAAAGACTTCTGGGGTCAGAATATTTGGGGATTCATGAGCGAGAATGAAGGATTGCAAACAGGCCCCTTAATCCATTTGACCAGAATGTACCCAGTGATGGCCATTTTACTTCTAGTCTCCCAACTAACTGTTAGTGCTACAGGGAATGACCTTGTACATACTTTCCAGGAATGTGCAGGTCTCTGTGGGTAAATCTCCCAGTGTGAAATCTCAGTTTTGAGCCTTTGTGTTTGGCATTTTAACAGCAGTTTCCAGAGCACTCTCCACCCAGCTGGTCCCACCTGGTGCCCCTCACCCATGTGCAGGTGGCCCATTTCCCCAGCAGCACAGGCTACCAGCTGACTCAGGATTTCTCAGATCTTCTGAGTGAATAATGGTGTCTTGGCATCATTTTTACAAGCATGTCTTGTTGGAGATGAGATTAAGCATCTTTTTGTGTGTTTAAGAACTATTTTAGCTTCTTTTCTGTGAAACTTTGTTCCTCTCATTGGCCCACGAATCTCCTGGGTGCTTGTCATTTTCTGCTCAGTTTCTTTTACTAGGGCTTCCATGTCCAGAGCATTTACTTTGTGTCAGGCATTTGATATGTTTTTGCCTCCTGATGATACTTTCTATTTTACAGATGAGGAAGCTGAGGCTCAGAGAGGAACTCGCCCTGGGCAGCCAGGCTCTGGCACCGAGGTCCAGCCACTCTGCCCACTGCCTCCTCCCAGAACATTCTGCAGTTGAATCTTTGGCCACCTCGGTCCTTGTTCCCATTGGGTAAACGTCTACTAGCACAATTTTGGAGTCAAGCCTATGCACCATTTCAAGGCTTTTATAACCCTCATACCTCCACTTCATTCCTCTCCAGAAAAGCTGGCCTCTTTCTTACACTCCCATCAACAGCATTTTTGCATATTCTCCATATCCTTTCCAAACACTAGACAGTTTCATAAAAGAAAAAGGTCAATTTGAGACACACGCATGCATTTCATTGTTTAGTTTGAATTTCATTCATGGTGGCACTGAACCTAAAAATATGTTTATTGGCCATTTTTATGTTTGTGCTTTTGTTTTGTGTGTGTGTGTGTGTGTGTGTGTGTGTGTGTGTGTGTGTGTTTAAGTGAATTGCCTGTTCATGACTTTTTCCTACTTTTCATTTCAGGAGATTTTATCTTTTTCTTATTGATCTCTAATAACTCTTTGTATATTAAAGCTATGAATGCTTTGTTATACAGGTTACAGGTACTTTTATTCTCAACCTGCTGGGGGCCTTTTGGGTTTGTTTATTTGCTCCAAATTTTAACTTGGTATCAAGTGTCCCCGCTGAGAGCGAAGCATTTGCTGACTTCCCTCTGCTTGCCAGAAGAGTCATCTGTCTCCTTGGGGTTTGGCAGCTTCTCCCTATCACAAGCCTTCCAGTTGCTTCCGGAGCAGATTCCGGAGGGATTTCCCCAGGGTGCTTCTCTGGTTCAGCTTTCAGAGGGGGATACGCATGCTGCATGGAGATGGTTTCCTCCCGTTCCTCCCTGGAGTTTTTAGCCTCCTCAAAGAGAAAGATTTTCTTCACTTTTCCTGATTTTACCCTCCAACTCAAATTTCTGAGATACATTTGTGTTTCACAGCCCTTGTACAGCTGGGTGGGGTTTTTTTGTTTTTGTTTTAATTTTTAACCCAGAATGTGATGCTAATTCTACAAAATTGGAACAACAAGAACTTGTCATCCTGCCCTCTTTGAGAAGATCACTATTTGTGGGGCACCTGGGTGGCTCAAGGGGTTAAGCCTCTGCCTTCAGCTCAGGTCATGATCTAAGTAAGGGTCCTGGGATCAGCCCCACATCAGGCTCTCTGCTCAGCAGGGAGCCTGCTTTCCCTACCCCTGCCTGCCTCTCTGCCTACTTTTGATCTCTGTCAAATACATAAATAAAATCTTTAACCAACCAACCAAACAAAAAAATCACTATTTGCTTTTGGTTCCAAAAACTTTCAGTCTTTTCTCAGTTGACCAGGGTAGGGGACGTGTCTTGTCACTGTTTTTCTCACTTAATATGACTGATCTTTCCTTGTCAGGTCTATAGAGTGTAAAATTGTTTTTTGCCATTTTGTTACAGAAAGTTTCAAATACACCCCCAAAGCACACCCCTGTGTGCCCCCACTCGGATTCAGCAGTGACCAAGTGTGGCCAGATCCCTTTCCTCTACTCCCATCCCTCACCCCCTTAGTCAATCATGTAACCAGTACATTTTAGGGTGCGTTTCCAAAATATTCAGCTAAAAACTGAACTTGAACAAATGACCGTTGTAGAAAAAAAACTGGAAAACACAAACAAAGGAGAGATGAATTTCGAAGAGAGGCATGGACAAGGATAAGGACATGGGGAGAAGGAAGGGCAAGTATCATGTGACTCCACTAGCCATGCTGGGAGATTTGAGGCATTTGGGTCAAGCCCACCTCCCTGTCTTCCTTCAGTTCAGGCCCTACTGTCCCTTTGAGGACAAGGTCGCAGGACCCTGAATTTTACTTAACAGTACTGAATCTCTCCCCCCACCACCATATTAACAAATGTATACCTGAGGATCCTTCTTAAAACTTAGTTTTTAAGAACGACCCAAAAACAATCCATCAGAAAGTACATTGGAGCATTGGGAAATAATCCCTTGGTAGCATTTCTATGGAAATTCCCACCCACCTCCGGAGCACGTGCTCAGCGCTTACAAGTATCATCTGGCTCCATCTGACGCCAACCCTGCGGTGTCGGTAAGACCCTATTTTACAGATGGACAAATTGAGGCTCTCACTGGGAGCCCAAAGTGGGGGCTGAATTTGAAGCCAGGTCTGGGGACGCCAGAAACCGCAAGCTTAATACCCAACAGCCCTTTGAAACCAAGTCCTAACTAGCCAGGTCCGCGGGGTGGCAGAGACTGGGTCCTACACAAATGGAACTGGCACGGCGTATCAGGCGAAGGTCCAGGCGGGGGCGGGTGTCGGAGGCACGGGGTGTTGTGAGCTCTGACACCTTTACGGCACTGAGTCACGTGAAAAGGGAACGCTAGAAGCACTCTGTACCTTTAAGGCGGGAGCAGGGGGCGGGGCGTCGGGGCGGGACTGACGTGACTCCCGGTGGGAGTCGCGTACGCAGCACTTTGAGCCTTTAAGGCCCTCGGGAGGAGGGGTCCGGGAAGCGGGCCCAGACGGCTGATTCACTCCAGGCACTCTCCTCCCCTTTAAGGCGCGCGGCGGGGCGGGGCCTGGTGGCGGGCTCAAGGCGCGGTCCGCGTCCGCCGGCAGAAAAGCGGCTTAAAGGCGACGCGTGGCGCGATGGCGGCGGCCCCACGCGCGTGCAGGCGGCGCTGGCGGCTGCGCCCGGTGCTGCTGCTGCTGCTACTGCTGGCGCTGCCGCCTTCGGGCGGCCCGCCGGGCGCCGCCGCCTACTTCCCGGAGGAGCGCTGGAGCCCCGAATCGCCGCTGCAGGCGCCCCGAGTCCTCATCGCGCTGGTGGCGCGCAACGCGGCCCACGCGCTGCCCGCCACGCTGGGCGCGCTCGAGCGGCTGCGGCACCCGCGGGAGCGCACGGCTCTGTGGTGAGCGCGGCACCCGCCTTCCCCGCGCCCGGCCTGCTTCCCCCATCCAGCCGGCTCCACCCCGCGCGCTGACTGCTGCCCTGGCACCGGGCGAGGCGGGCGGGACCCTAGCGTGGCCCCTGCTTGCTTCCTTCTTCGGGCCGGCCAAACCCGCTGGCCCTCCGCTTGCTGTCCCTCCCTCCCGGTCTCTGCTCCGCCGCTGTGGGACTGACGGATCGCGCTCTGGCTTCTGGCCCCGCGGTTGGGGCAGATTCCGGACCACTCGTGCCCAGCCCAGGGCTGGGCTGCTCTGCCGGGGACGAACTCTCAAACCGCCTTCGGGGCACTCACGGCTCCAATTAGGGGAGCCTGGAGCCCCCACGGCCCACACTGCATTTCCACTAACAGGAAGTCTTTTCAGCTTCTGCTGCATTGAATCCTGAATCCACTCTGAGTCGATCCCCTGTCCTCTAACCAGTGTGGGTGGGTGGGTGCGTGAGTTATGGGACCAGGTGGCCAAGGGTGGGGGAGTGGGCAGAGCTATATCGCAACTCGTGATTTCCTGCCTCCTGCTTCGGTTTCCTCATCTGGAAAATGGGGGCATTTATATAACTCTGGTTGCCTTCCTCTCGGAAAATTAACCAGTTAAAGCACTCAAGGCCTTGAGCCTGGGATCTCTAGCTTGGTGCTCGGTGACCAGAACTGTGGTTATGGTTATGTTGTCCTTACTAGTCTTGGCTGCTCATGTTGGCAAGTTAATAACAACTTATTTAAGGGGAGAGCTCTCCTCTTGATGTGGACTCTTAAATGCCCCACACCCCTCCATCCCAGATTCCCCAGCCTGGATAATGCAGGCACACAGTTGGTGCTTAAGAAATGTTTGTTGAATTAACCAGTAAGCACAGGCCACTCTAAGGTGCTGTTGTCGATAGGAGACAATCGAGGATGGTGGGGTGGGGGTAGATGACACATGCATTTTTAAATTAAATCACCATATTTAGTCCTTAACATGGTTATGAGATCCTGGGTGCTCAGTGTCTGCTGTATTTTTCCCAAAATTAGCTTGTTTAATCCCTTCTGCAGCCCAGTGCAGCGGGTCCTGTCCTCATCTCTGTTTTAGATGAGGAAACAGGCATGGAGGAGGGAAGCATCGTGCCCAGGGCTGTATAAGCTGCTGGAAGGCAAGCTTCGGGGTGTGGAGCCCATGTTGCTTCACTGCTACCCGGGGCTGCCTCAGTCTCCCCAGCCTCACGCTGACTGCCCTGCTCTGCTTTGCAGGGTGGCCACAGACCACAACTCAGACAATACATCGGCTGTGCTGCGGGAATGGCTGGTGGCCGTGAAGAGTCTGTACCACTCTGTGGAGTGGCGACCGGCGGAGGAACCCAGGTGAGCTCCAGGTTCTGCCCTGACCCCCCTCCCCAAGTCAACTGGGCTGTGCCCCTATTCACACACTTTCCATGACTCCCCATTGTCCTGTGACAGAACCCCAGCGCTTCTGCCTCTGCCCCTCTGGCCCAACTCTGCAGCTGTACGGGCTGGCCTTGGCTACTCTGACCCACCCTCAGCTTCAGTGGGCCATAATCCTCCAGCTGACCTTTGTCCCCACAGGTCTCTCCACCTAGAGTTCACTCACTCCCTTGTCCTCCTGGTGGACGCCTACTGCTTTGTTCCCAGTCTCACTCTATGCTTAGCTTCCCCATGAGCCCCTGGGCAGTGAAGACCACTTGTTCCATTCAGCCTTTCCGGGTTTATTTCTTTTTTTTTTTTTTTTTTTTTTTTTTTTATTTTTTTTTTTTTTTTTTTTTTGAAGGGGGGGGGGGAGAGAGAGCAAGCACAGGCAGACAGAATGGCAGGCAGAGGCAGAGGGAGAAGCAGGCTCCCTGATGAGCAAGGAGCCCGATGTGGGACTCGATCCCAGGACGCTGGGATCATGACCTGAGCCGAAGGCAGCTGCTTAACCAACTGAGCCACCCAGGCGTCCCCCGGGTTTATTTCTTTACCTGTCTGCCTACATATTCCCTCCTCCAGGAAGCCCTCTCTGACCACTGCCCTCTGGGTTGCCATAGCGCTC